TCAGTCACACTTTATTTTTAGGTACAATTTTCCCTGTTAACAAACCATTGTTAAGTCAACTATACCTTTTGCCTCACTAAAACTTGCTGCTTAGTAAAAGTTAATAAAGAGCATAATAATGCATATTAATGCTATTATGCATACATATTTATGGTAACACTTTACAATAGGGTTCATTAGTTAATGCATTTACTAACATGAACTAATCATGAACAACACATCTACAGCATTTATTAATCATATATGAACATTTACTAATGCATTAATAACATCCCAGTCCATGCTTGTTAATATTAGTTAATGCACCATGAGTTAACATGAACTAACAATAAACTACTGTATTTTCATTAACTAACGTTAACTAACATGAACAAATACAGTAGTAGATGTATTGTCCATTGTTTGTTCATGCTAGTAAATGCATTAATTAACATTACCTAATGAACCTTATTGTAAAATGTGACCATATTTATTTACACTGTTAAAGTCTTAGTTTAAGCATGGGTCAAGTGAAAAAAAAAATATTTCGACAAAACAGTATTTTTATTTTATATATTTTTTTTTAAATCATACTTTAGTAAGCAGCGGATCAGCAGGGCCTTACAAAGTCTTAAAAAGTCAAAAAAAAAATTTAAAATCTAAATTTTAGGACTTGAAACGTTTTAAATTCGCTGTTCTGGGTCTTAAATATTTTTTGCACAGGTCTTATTTTTCCGATGTCCATGTAACGTTGCATCTAATGCTCATTTAAATTCTTTTTTGTAGTTGGTGTTGCTTGGTTTTTGTGGTGTAGTAGTTCTTTATTTCACTAGTCCAAATGTAATTAGCGGAAATACATTGGCTGGCGGAACACACTATTTTTTTTAAAAACTCAAGCAAACAGTTCGCGTGGCGCCGCATTTGATTTTAGTTGAATATGAATCGATTTAAGAGATTCTGTCGCTTCAAAATCTACGTAGGCCTGTACAGACATCTTTACGATACGTCCATGTGTAATCATATGGGTAACCAGATGAACAATAATTATTGGCTAGAAATTGCAACAGTCATGGGAAAGGAGCAAAGTTTTTGTAAAAGTTTAGAAAAACTTGAGGGAGAAGTTTGTTAAAGCCAAAAAGAGAGTCCATGGTAAAAGTGGATACCCAGGTGGTTTTAATATTACATAATGGTTTTCCACCATTCATAGGTTTTACACAAAAATATTTATAATCATTAAACTAATTTAAAAATATAATAAAAAATAATTAGTAAAAAAATCTTGAACGATATTAATGATATGACATAGTTCCGGAAACTTCCTACTTCACTGTTTATTTATCTGACTTAACGGTGGGTTTCTTTTGATCGCCCCCTGTCATTTTAAAGAGCCTCGTCCGTTTTGTGAGGTGCGCATGCAGTCAGCAGAGGTGCATGATGCAGTGCCAGGCGAAAGTACAAATCAGCCTAACCTTCAGTTAGATGCACTATTGAATCTTCAGTACTGTTCAATTTGAATACATTTATTTTGCCACTACTTTTGTATATTTTCATTTGTGAACTTCACAAAAAGTCAACTATTTGGGTTAAAGAGATCGTAAAAAGTAAGTATGGTTAACTATGGTGCACCCCACATGATCTGACAAAATCCGGTGGAAAACATTACCATATAATGGTAAGAAAGAGAGAGAGAGAGAGAGAGAGAGAGAGAGAGAGAGAGAGAGAGAGAGTATTATTATTATTCATTAATCATTATTCAAAGTTCAGTCAATATCTCATAATTTTATCGTGTTTCTGAGTTCACTGTCATCCTAAATTTACCTATTATAAAGTGTGTGATTCAGCTTGGCTCTCAAGAGTGCATATAAATAGACTTCATATCAACGTCATTGCCTTGTCAACGTGTGTAGTCTGAAAAGCAACATTAATTCTAGAATCAGCCCTCCAATAGCGAGAAACTCCTGCCAACTGCTTTGCCAGCTTCCCGTCCTCTGCTGAAACTCAAATGAAGTTGGTTGGGGAACGCTAGAGGAAAGTGTGAGAGAAAGTGAGCGAGTGGGTGGGTGAGAGAAGGATGGAGAAAAATCAAGAGAGAGAGAGCGCTGAAAACTGTCAGTGCAGAAATATTTTCCATAAATTCATAAACGCTGATAAGGCCCCATCTTTCTCCCATGTGCCCCAGCCAAGGACGAAGGAACATACATTAAGAGATTAGGAGCAGTGCTGCATTTCCATCACCCCGCTGAGAGCGAGACCCATGGGCCCAGCACACGATCTTATCAAACACACATACAGGCGCAGGAAAGCTAGTGCTGGTTTCAACTTCATTTCGCCTCCTCCGCTTCTTTAAAAACCCTTCTCAAACTCCACCATCAATAATCTGCCTCTGCTGTCCTCTGCGCTTTATTGTATTTAAACACACACACACACACACCACACACACACACACACACACACACACACACACACACACACACACACGCACACGCACACGCACACACGCACACACACACACACACAGTATACTTACACTGCACATTGGGTCAGCAGCCATTGACACAAAGAAGGATAATCACTACAATGCTAGCAACAGATAAAGAGGTGTACGCATTTCATTTAAACTGGCATACCAGTATACTGCAGGTTTCACTCCTCACAGTCAAACACTTTTATTTTATTTGATTCAGTCATGCTTTGGTTTATACTTTTGTACACTTTTGTTTTATCAAGTTATAAACGGTTTGAGAATTAGCTTGCATGCGCTGAGCAAGAGAAGTGAGTAGCTCTGATAAATGCAGTTTAGGAGAAGTTACACTTCATTCACGCTGAAGTGATGACAGTAAGAAGAGATGACTGACAAAACCATGATGGAGGATTTGGTGTGCCACAAGTGTTGCCAAAGTAAATTGTGAACTCATGTTCAAAAATGATTTGGGTACACACTGATTTATACTGTGTTATACAAGAAATACGAAAATATTTACTTATATAATAAAAAAAAACTTGACCTTTTTATTAAAACTAAGATAATAAAGAATTATGATGATGATGATGATGATGATGATTATTATTATTATTATTATTATTATTATTAAAAATAGTTTAATGTAATCATATTTATGTATTTTATTATATTTTATGAAAAAATGCTGGGCATGTTCTCATGTTCTGGTAAGTATGTTAATTTATGTTAATGATTTACAAGTTACTCATGTAAATCATGAAAATCTTTATAGATTAAAATGGCATTGTTTTTGTGCTGTTGACAAAAAAAACTGATGACTTTGATGCAACAAGAGACTGTTAAATATTTCCATGTACTGTATACTGAACTAACACTAGATATGCTGTTTCAGACGATGTAGATATGTTCATATTATGCATATCAGTTTCTCTCCAAACGTATTATAAAGATAAATGCATCAGAGCCGGCATCATGTATGAATACTAATGAGATCACGCTGCTTTTATGGGCATGCCAGCGCATCATCCAAAGACAAAAAGTAATAAAAAAGTACATTTTAATCACTCTTTTACATCAATGGATTCGATTCTTGTGGAAGCGGCAGGGAAGCTCACGATATCTCTGAGAAGAGCTGTCACAGTCGCGTGTCAAATCGGCCTTGATCTAAATAAGCTCATTAGGTTATTCTCGCACCCGGCCTTCTTTCATCCCACTGCCTAAAACGGAATAATTGCTTTGTTGCATCAATTCCTGCTTTTTGTGTTGATGTCACTTCATTCAAATCACAGTCACCTTGGATGGCATTTGAAGGGCAGCAGCAGGTCGCTATAAAAACACTGTCCTTTTTTTTCTATTTTTTATTTTTGGAGAAACAAAAAGCAAATATTCCGTTCCGTCTATATCATCTCAGCTTTCATTCTCATTTCCCTTTCATCCTCTTCCCCTTCCTGTTTTGCTCTCATGGGTTTAAACCCTGCAGGCTCACTGCCTGTGTTCTTTGGAGCTTGGAGGCGATGCAGATTTTGGCATTTACCGAGCTGCAGGCTGCTGAGACAGAGCTTGAATAGAGAGTTGCATGAGAATGGGTGAAGATGGCAATGCCAACTGGTCAGAGATGCCCCTCTAGACCCCAGCAAACAATCACAGATCTCTTTCTAAAGCAACACTCCCCGGATTGGGCTGTTTCTGAACAGGCTTTTCTTCAAAGCTCACAGCACAATGAACAAAACTGTCACATCTGGGCACAGACACAGCAAGTGTCTCAGGAGAAAACGTGGATCTAGGATCAGTCTTAGAATGTTCTAGTCTGTAGCATGTGAAATTAATTTGGTTCACTCTGGAAATTTAGTGGTTGGCTTGATAAGCAATTAAAACCAAAGATTTAGTGAGAACATTCATGTACTGTATCAACTATATGTAAAAATTGCACATTTCCAACTGAATATATATATGTATATATATATATATATATATATATATATATATATATATATATATATATATATATATATATATATATATATATATATATATATATATATATATATACACTCTAAAAAACGCTGGGTTGGTTTTTTAACCCAAATGCTGGGTTGAGACTGCTGGGTAACAAAATTGGGTTGATTCAACCCAATTTGGGTTGAAAATCGATCTTTATCTATAACCCAGCAGTGCTGGGTTGGGAACGCGGACGTGAAAGAGAGCACGCACGTCACGTCAACATGCAGGGACATCAACGTGAGAAACCGCCATTTTCTTTGCGCTGTCTTTGAGGGGAAGCGAGTGAAATTCTGTGTGAGACGTAAGTTATTTAGTGTGTATTTAACAATTTTCATAAGAAATAACACACTTAGTTTACTTAGTATAATATACACGCGCTTTTTTTCTGTTTCTCCGCCTGATGGCTGACTTGTTGCTCCGCCTCACGCTGACCTGTGCTCGCCTTATGGCTGAACTGTTGCTCCGAGTCCGCCTGACGAGCCACCTGTTTCTCCGGATCTGTTTCTCCGCCTAACGGCGACCTGTTTCTCCGGACCTGTTTCTCCGGACCTGATTCTCCGCCTAACGGCGACCTGTTTCTCCGGACCTGTTTCTCCGCCTAACGCCCGAGCTGTTGCTCCACCTAACGCCTGACCTGTGCTCGCCTCACGCCCGACCTGTTGCTCCGCCTCACGGGCAGCCTGTTGATCGGTGGACGGGTAAGCGCGCATGGCATCGGAAGGAGCTCGAAAAGTATAAGGTAACTAATGAAACTAACGTGAAGCATGTTTGATGACCACCTTATAAACACAACACCTAGGATAATTTAGGAGCTTTTTATTGTAATAAAATGTCTTTTGAATGACACAGATTTTTATGTTGGCTAGGTGATGACAGTAAGTAACGTTACTGTGATTTGTGATCTTTCTGGGGTGTAAGTAAGTAGTATTTTTACTCTTGTATTTCTTAAGTTTGTTCATGGATTTTTGTGACAATACTTTGATGCATAAGTGTTGAATTCAGCTTCTAACAATGTTTTTTTTAATCAAAATAAATACAATAATTGTCCTGCTCTGCATGTACATTTTGTTTAGCTGTACATCTGTACATTGAATAGCAAATGTTATTAATTTACTATGAGCATTTTACATTCTAGACGTGATTTGAGCTATCTTTAATTAATCCTGTATGTAAGGGTCGTTTCATGCTAACGGAAATGTCTGAGCTATAAGGCTAATTCCAACCTAATCATCTTCGACTGCAAAAAGAAAAAGTTTGACCACCGTTTTATGTGACACCCTGGATAATTATTATCATTTAGGAGTATTTTTGTGATATAGTGACTTTTGGCTAACATGATCTTTTTTTACTTAATTTTGCTTAAACGCTTTTATCTGTTATTCTTTTTCAGATGGATAATTGCGTGAAAATCAAACTAAAAGAATGCAATCTTGAGGAGTTAATCCCCACATTTGAAGGTATGTAATAATATTTTACTTGGTTGATTGTAATCATTAGGGCTGCCCTTGTCTAAACATTTGTCTGGTTGACTTGTGATGTTCATTTGAAGCATTAGTTGAATAATTACAGATTTATTAATAAACCATTTATTCATTAATTCATTTTCTTTTTGACTCAGTCCCTTTATTAATCTGGGGTCGCCACAGCGGAATGAACCGCCAACTTATCCAGCATATTTTTTACACAGCGGATTCATGCAGCATACATTGACTTTGCCAGTGTGGACTTTTTTTCTGCAACTAGTGGGTAGCACATTCGCCTCATAGCAACAAGGTCACTTGATCGATCCTTGGCTGGGTCAATAGGCCTTTCTGTGTGGAGTTTGCATGTTCTCCCCGTGTTCGCGTGGGTTTCCTCCAGGTGCCCCGGTTTCCAAAGACATGTGGTAAAGGTGAATTAAGTAGACTAAATTGTCAATGGTGTATGTGTGTGAATGAGTATTTGTTTCCCAGTGATGGGTTGCAGCTGAAAGGGCATTCGCTGCATAAAACTTATGCTGGATATGTTGGTGGTTCATTCCATTGTGGTTACCCCAGATTAATAAAGCGACAAAGCTAAAAAGAAAATGAATGAATGAATGAATAATAAATTTTTAGTTGACTAATGGTTATTCAATTATTAGGGGGCAGCCCTAGTAATCATTAGCCACTTCAACACTTTAAACTGAGAGATTGAACTCTAATGCCAATTTGTCTTTGTCTGGTTATTTTTTAAAATCTGCTGTTCATGCAACCAGTGACATTCTCTTGTTTTATTTTTAGCACAGGAGCGAACCTTTTCTCGTTTTTAGGTCAATTTGAATACAATTCAGAGGGTAAGGATTCAATTAAAGGTTTCTCGATGCATAATGATGCATTTAATGCATAATGATTGTCTTAGTTATTTTATTAACAATGAAAATGTTATTTTTATGTTTGTTATTAGGGTGGCATGGGGGGCGCAGTGGGTAGTGCTGTCGCCTCACAGCAAGATGGTCGCTGGTTTGAGCCTTGGATGGGTTTCCCCTCCACAGTCCAATGACATGCGGTGTAGCTGAATTGGGTAAGCTGAATTGTCCATAGTGTGTGTGTAAATGAGAGTGTGATGGGTTGCAGTTGAAAGGGCATCTGCTGCGTAAAACATAAAAAGATGACGGTTTTGTGAAAGTTGTGATTTGGTCACAGCTATGGTTTCAAATTTTTAGTGATAAGATGCTTTATATAGATAGTGAATGCAACAAACTCTAAATGGCCTGTAAGCCAATTATTTTCATTTAAGGAGAAGTCCACTTCCAACAAAAGATTCACACATAATGTACTAACCCCCTTGTCACCCAAGATGTTCATGTCATTCTTTCTTCAGTCAGAAAGATTTTTTTTTTAGGAAAATATTTCAGCAATTTTATCCATCTTGAACTGAGATTGTGCCTCATTTTTGAAGTTTTTAAAGAAAATTTAAATGCGGCTTCAAATGATACAAATACGGTTGCAAACAGTCCCAGCTCAGGAAGAAGGGTCTTATCTATTCTCATTAAGAAAACACAATTAAATACTTAATAATTTCAAATGCTCATCTTGCCTTACTATTACTTATTAAAAAAAGTTCCTTAGGCAAACCTGTTGTTGCATTGTCATCTTCACTCGGGCCAAAAAATTGCAGCATGGTGCCATGGTCAGTGGTTAACTAATGCCAACACTGGCTGATAGCTTGGTGTGTTATGGCCTTAATTGCTTCTAAAGGTATTTTAGGTGTTCTAAAGTTAACTCTAAAGATATTTAACTTTTACACTTTTGAGTTTTTAATAAATCTTACTTCTATTTATTTTTTCAGATTGGGACCAATATTGCTGAGTATCTTCATCCATTGAATTCAAGAATCTATTGAGTTTCCTCATGTTCTCATCCTTGGAGACCACTACTTCTTTCAAGCCTTTGCTCACGTGCTGTGCTATTTATTATTGCAAAGTACATTACTTGCCAAAGTGGACGTTTGCTATAAAGCATTCTACATCTTTGGTGTGAACTACCCCAAGCAGTGTTCCCTGGTGTGGCAGACTGTGGTTTATGGACATCCTGGGGAGGAGACACTAGCATTAAGGGTTCTGCTAGCATTAATTTTTGCTGACAAACAGTAATCATTAATACTGTGACCTCACTGCTTCCTTGGATTCTGTGTTCTTTATCTTGTACTTTGGATTGTGGGGAAAAGGAGCACCCAGAGAAAACCCACACGAACACGGGGAAAACATGCAAAACATGCTCCACACAGAAACACCAACTGACCCAGCTGAGGCTTAAACCACCGACCTTGTTGCTGTGAGGCAATCGTACTACCCACTGTGCCACCATGACACCCATTTCTAAAGAATAGTTTTAATAACTCATTTCTAATAACTGATTTCTTTTCTCTTTGCTATGATGACGGCACATAATAATGGACTAGATATTTTTTAAGACACTCTACACTGCAGTTACATTGCAACTAATTTTTCTTACAGACTCTTTTATATCTCAGGATTGATGTTTGCACATGATTGTTCGAGTAAAAGTTAAAAAAAGTTTTCCTATTTCAAATTTGTTTTAAAATGCTTCCATCCTCAGGTTTCATTTTAACTTTTATATCTGTTTTTTCTTCAAAACTGCATTTACATTGAACTTGATCATCCTTACTGATGATTGCTTTATATCTCATATATTGATGTTTGCACATAATTGTTAAAGGGAAAGTTATAAAATGTTTTCTTATTTTTTCTTAATATAAAATTTGTATTTTCTTAGTTTTTATTGTTTGTTTTGTTTTTTCAAGCTGTTTGATGCCTTTTCATGATTACTTTCACATATTTTTTTCTGCATTGCAGTTGATGATTTATATGAGAATATGTTGATGTTTGTGCTCAAATTACTTTCTGACTTCAGTCATTTAGATGCATTTTCATTATTACTTCCTTATACTATTGTTTTTCTCTACTCTGCAATAACATTGCAATTGCCTTACTGATGATTCCTGATTTATAAATGATGCAAATGTTTTTGAATGTATTTCAAATATGCATTTTCTTAAGGTAATTTGTCTGATTTCAGTCTGATGCATTGTTACTGAACTTTAGTCAGTGTTTCTGTGATACAGTTTGATAAATTTTCACAGAAATCGTCTTAACCCTTTAACAACCCTTTCAAGAAAAAAAATTGGATTGCATTTCTCAACTGCTAATGTCGCTATTGAACACAATCAGTACATTTTAACACATGTTATAATTTCTAAAATATCAACCTCTACCAAATGATTGATATGTATGTTTATGGTAAAAGTACCAGAATTATGAAAAATCTGAAAAATTATGTGTAAGACCAATTAAAAATAAAATTATATATATATATATATATATATATATATATATATATATATATATATATATATATATATATATATATATATATATATATATATATATTTAAAAGAAATATTTTGAACACTAAATCATCTTTTTTCTTATGACTTTAACAGTCATTATTTAAAACAGTAAAAACGAGGTCAACCATTTGGTAGAGCAGGCAGTCAAAGGGTTAATGCTGAGGTGCAGATGGGAAAAATCTCAAATTCATTTGGACACATTTTATCTTTTGTCATAAATAAAATTCCATTACTGAACAACTATGTATTGCTGTAGAATTGTTTTTATTTTAGTGATTTTAATCATCAGTTTCTAGATTAAATTTCTGACCCATTTTGGGTTACATTCAACCCAGCAGTGTAGTAATTTTTAACTAATAGTTGGGTTAAAATCACAACCCAGCATGCTGGGTTAAACTTGTAACCCAACTTGCTGGGTTAAAGTAACCCAGCGTTGGGTTTGTCCCTTTTTTACCCAGCGCTGGGTTACCAAAACAACCCAAATTGGGTTGTTTTCAACCCAGCAGTTTTTAGAGTGTATATATATATTTTGGTACTTTAAAATTGTTTTGTTAAATAGGTATATTAATGTTCTTAGCAAGCATATTTAGAAATAAAAATAAATTTAAAACTTTCAGACTCTTAAAATGTTCTAAATAAAATAACAAATACTTTCACGTTACCTTTAAAATGATCAAAGTAACATGTTTAGTTACTTTAAGTAACTTAATTTTGTTATATATATATATATATATATATATATATATATATATATATATATATATATATATATATATATATATATATATATATATATATATAAAGTTATATAATATTAATATATATATATAATATTAAGTTATATATTTATACAAGAAATTGTACAACGATGGTTTGCTCTGTAGACTATCGGGAAAAAATAGCTTAAAGGGGCTAATAATTCTGTCCCAAAATTGGGTTTTAAAAAAATTAAAAGAGCTTTTATTCTAGCCAAAATAAAACAAATACGATTTCCTCCAGAAGAAAAAATATTATGACAAATACTGTTAAAATTTCCTTGCTCTGTTAAACATCATTTGGAAAATATAAAAAAAAGAAAAAAAATCAAAAGGGGGCTAATAATTCTGAATTCAACTATATATATATATATATATATATATATATATATATATAATATATATATATAACAATGCTAAGTTAAGGTACACTTAACTATTACTTTTCCCCAACACTGAATACATATTTAAATGAGGTTTTGCAATAAATAAATAAATAAATAATATTCACAAACTACAGTATTGCTTGTTACAATGATTGTTACTTGTTAGATTGATTCCAGAATTGATTTTGATACTGTCTTATCTAATGTGCATACACAAAAAATATGATTAGCATACTATAGTAAGCATTAAACTATTCTAAATGTGTACACTCTAAAAACTGCTGGGTTAAAAACAACCCAATTTGGGTTGTTTTGGTAACCCAGCGCTGGGTAAAAAAGGGACAA